CAGTATTCCTTGGAAACCAAGGAATAGAGGAAGACCGGCTCTGATACCAAAATGAAACAGCCTAACCCGGCCGGGTACTAATTTTACCAAAATACCCTTAATAAACCATGAAATAAAATAAGAACTGAAAATACTTAGAAAAATAGCGGAAACATTACATAAATAACTTTAATAAATACATAAAACAAATGTCATTACTTAAACAACAAAGCTTGACACTTGGGCAAACTCAAACCTTAAAATCTCAAAATGACCTCCATCCTATACTCATAATCATAAATTGAAACAACTAAATGGTCTCTAATGCTACTGCTTCCGGAAAGCCTTGACGAGACATCCTCTGTAGCGCTTGTACTACCCTCCTCTAGCTGGTTGCCCTCAAACTGCTCCTCTCGAACTCGCTGCTCTCTAACTCCTCTTAGTCCTCTTCAAACTGGTGAGTGAGATGGGGTCAGTCTACGCCCTTACGTTTAACATATTATTAATACTTGATCACTTTACTTAACTGAGTGAAAGTTGTTTGATACTCCCACTATTAAAAATCTTAACTCTTAAAACTGTATTCTTCAAACTCAAATCTTAACTTAAATACTTGACTGATACGGGGATCCCTCACTAGCTAGTCCGGTTGCCAACTCATACGTATGAGAAGCCATTCAGGCTTTCCTTAAACTTAAACTTAGTTAGGGAAGTCGTAACGATTCATCCCCCTAACATCTTAAACTTATCGTGGTGGCTCTTCACCACGATTTTCAAGGGCATAACTGTTGCCCATCTTAAAAGTCTCAAGAGCATAACTGCTGCTCTATCTCAAAATGTCTCAAAAGGCAACGGACTGGCGCTAGTGACTAAAAACACTTAAAACGACTTCACCTTCTTGAAGGTGAGTTACTTCTTAAAAAGAACTTGCTTCTTAAACTTTAATAATAACTCCTAAATGCAAAGCTTTAAAGTAAGTAACACAACTCATACATATTCACTCCAACATAGCTCAAACAAAGCACATATCATCAATCATAAGCACAATCAAACAACGACAATCACTTCATAAAAAAATACTGAAAACTCCAATACTTGAAAGAATACGTAGGATGTAGAATTTACCTCCTTTATACTCACCTCGGCATTTATGTTGACCGGCTTGAACTAACCATGACACTACCACTTCTGGATTCTGCTGGCACAGTCACCTCCATTTGGTCACATATCTTTAGCTTGTTTACGTAGCCACTCAAACTACTCATCCCTTCATGGCCATGCAAACTAAATATCACTACCCATATGCACCATACAAGCCGCCCACTTGTGGCTTTCATCTGCTCCACTCTCCATAGTCAATTAAGTTGTAGAATCATTCATTACTAATATATGATCATCATGGGTAGCAGAACCACGCGAACCAATTCTTACACAAGGGTTTCAACTTCCTGGTCCTTCAATTATCAACAAGGACACATGGAGTTACGCTTCCCATCCCCATGAAAGAGGACAAAGTCGTCATATAAACAACATTAAAGCATAATCACAACCACCATAATCATATATCCCAGCGAAGCGACTCTAGACCTTTAACATCATCAACTGACTTAATTTGCTTGGCCTTCTTGAGGATACAACTAGCATGGTTCCATATAGGGATGGAACCGTCGAATTGGGAAGATTGGACCATTTTTTCCAAGTCAGAAATTCTCCTTTCCTATTGAAGTTCCACAACCGTCCAATCTCCACCGATGCCAAGTCGGTTACTTTGCCAAGGACCAGCTTGCTTGGCGGGATGGCTATAAAAAACGAGACAAGCTGGATTGCTTTCTCGTAGTGGAAAGGGAAAACTGTCGGCGCCCTTGATCAGCCCTCCATCGACACCTCAAGCCTCAATTCCCCAGAGCATAAACCAGCACCACCGACCATATTTGTGCCTACCACTAGTTTCCACGACAAAGCATACGTGAGAAAGCACAATCAGAGTAGACCTTAATTTGGCGACCCGACAGTCCTCCACCAGCGCTCCATCTAATTCCGCTCTTCCAATATATTTCTGTTCAGCATCTCCTACGCCGCCTTGAATTGGTTTGCGGATACTACCTTGGAGATCATTGCATGAAAAGTGGAGCAGTCGTGCTTGTACCCATTGCTTTACTCGGCGGTGGTGATTTAGTGGTTTAGAAAAGGAACAGAAGGGTTTTGGTAGGGGTTGGGGACGTTTAGGGTTTTATTTTAATGAATACTAATAATAATAATAATAATAATAATAATAATAATATTATTATTATTATTATTATCCCTAACCTGCGGTTGTAACTCTTTGTACGTAATTATCGATCCAAACGTTCGGTCGAATCTTAATCAAACCCTAACCTGAAAATGGGGTGTTACAGTCTATCATGACATCCAACATGGCAGAGAGCATCAATGGTGTTTTCAAATGTATTCGTTCACTTCCTATAGCTTCTCTTGTGCAACATACCTATTGGCGATTGTTGGAGAAATTCGATAAGATGAGGTTGGAGACAAAAGCACAAATTAGAAGTGGTCGTTCACACTACACCATCAAGTGCGAAGAGAAGATGAAGCCATGGTCACAAAAGGCAGTTGGACATTCGGTGACAAGGGTTGAACGACGTCAAGGCATCTATGTAGTTCAGATTCCTCCCAACAATTTCATCATGACGGGTTCAAACACACTCACAGTGCACTTTGACGACAACAACCGGGCGGGATTTTGCACTTGTAGGAAATGTCAAGGAAATAAAATTCCTTGCTCTCATGGCATTGCAGCTTGCAACCGAATGGGGGCTTAGCCGTATAGGTTTGTAAACGACGTCTACAAGCTTGAAATAGTGTTGGCTTGTTATGGGACAAGTTTCACACCTCTTGGTGAACCTAAGGTTTGGAAGAAGCATAATGGCCCTACTCTCCATCCTAATCTGCACATTATTAGGAAGCCGGGGAGGCCAAGATCAATAAGAATTCACAACGAGATGGATTGGCCAAGAGAGGGTGCATCACACTAAGTGTGTAGCAACTGTAACCAAGCGGGACATAATGCATCAACATGTGGTAGCCAAGCAAGTGGGAGTGGGAGCCAGCGAAGAGGGTGTGGTGGCCAACGAAGGTCGAGAGGTGGTAGAAGAGGAAGTAGAGGAAATAGATGTTGTATGTAGTTTGGTCGAACGTTTATCTAATGTAGTAGTTGTTGTTTTTCTTTCGATTTGCCTTGTAGAAGTTGTTGTTGTATGAAGTTGTTGTTTGGACTTTTATGATATGAACAAGTTGTTGTTGTTTGTTGGTTTTATATTTAAAGTTTTCAATTAGACTTGGTATGTAGTTTGGTCGAACAATAGCACTAACATGAATTAGTCCACATGAAATTAAAAATAATTCACATAATAGTCCACATAAATATCCCAAAGAAGTACATAATAATAACAGATATTTAAAAATAGTCTCACTAACAACCACCACGACGACCACCATGTTGATCCACTAGATGGCCGCCAGTATCACACCTCGCTGCCCCCTGTTTCGTGGAGGCCTACCATCATCGTGTTGGGGCTAATCTCCATCCACTATATCATCCTGATCCTGTGTACCGAACATCTCATCGACCTGAAACTGAATCTGATAATCTGGTGCATCGCCACCAAATGCTCCCGCTCGAAGCTGCTGCTCATAAGACCACATCGATGCCCGAAAAGTCTGATCACCATCTAAACGCTCCCACACGTCTGGGTCCAAATCTGGTATAGTTCACTATCTGATGCCATGGCTCCGCCTCCTTCGTACCATGCTGTGGTGTTTGAAAGCTATCTTCCGGTGGCTGAATCTTCAGCCCCGAACTGGTGCCTGCCAGAAATCGCGCATAAGTGCCCGACTGAAACTGCTGCTGAGAAGGCGGGTGGAACTGGAAGGTCGAAGTAGGTCTGACTGGCTGCAATCGCTGACGATCTGAGATCCTCACTGGACGAGGTACGTCACGCTGCTCACGTCGATGTCTACGGCTCCTAGGCTCCTGCGTCAACTGTGGAGGTGGCACGCCCAGGCCGATGGCTGAACCCTACGCTCTGGGAAAATGTCTAAGCTGCGCTCATCAACAGGGTACCACTGTATAGGTTCTGTAGGATCGAGATGTCGAGGCTCACTGAAACCTAAAGCTGTAACCCCTGCTTCCAATATGTCAGCTAACTCCTCCATCCGGTTAGTGGACATCCCCCATCTCGAACACCATCACGCAAACCCAACTTAGCATACTCCATGCTGACGTACTGAAAATTAAATTTAAAATATCAGAAATTCTACACATCTAGAAACAATTAAAACACAAATATGAATTAATAAAAAACTAACCGCTGCGTTCATTGCAGCTCCTTTCCGTGTGCCTGAACGTCTAGTAACATCTCGATACCACTCTAGATGCTCCGAGTGGTAGGCTAAATGGGCATCATTGTAGCTCATACGCGCGATGAACTCATGTCGACGGTTCCGCAACTCAATCGACTTGCTGGCTGCCTGTATAAACTGCTGCCCACGTGATGGCCCATGCTGGCCCTGACGAAGGAAAAACCTAATCTCAGCCACTGAATGTGGCTGATGAGGCCGAAGCACGTGATCTGGATGGTGCCACATCGCCGATGAAAAGCATATCAGCGGAACTAGTGCTCGAAACGTGTCGGACTGGATCACAGTACCACTGAAGTCCTGGGCTCTATCAAAGTAAGGGTGCCACTGCACACAAAACTTGGCCACATTATTACTCCTAAATCTAAAACAAATCAATGAAAATTATTCTATAAAACGAAATGTTATATACTAACCACGAATATCGTGCTCTCGTCAAACCACAGCTTGTACGGATAAAACTGATCACCATGCTGACGTGTATGGGCCGGAAGCCATCGAAGGCCACGTGGGACTACGTCCTCTGTAATCTGCTCCCCTGTCTCTATATGTAGTGGTGCTATATGAGGAAATCGCTCCCACGCCCAGAGCATCAGCAAGGCGGACTATCCACCAAGGTCACCACCTAGTGAAGAGGATTGCGTCATATGCAGTGTCGACCTACCCATTTCACGGTACATGTGGGATAGAACAGCTGCTCCCCAGGCAAACCTCCCCGCTCTACGCCAATCCTCCACCAAGAGTAGGTACTGCAGATGAATTGAACCTCCAGAGCGATCGGGGAACAAAACACCTCCCAACAGAGACAGAGCATAAGCTCGTGCAAACTGCTCTGTAGTATCTGGTGATGCCGATGGCGGTAGTTGATCGAAAGTTTCCCTGAGCCAAGAAATCCTAATGACACCGTCGCCAAGATTAGTAGGAGCCCGTCCTAACAGTCGAAGACACATAACCGACTAGTCCTGGTCTGGTATGTCTACTACGACGACATCACCATCGATTGCTATACCGGTTAGTGTCGCAACGTCCTCTAAAGTGATCGTCACCTCACCGAACGACATGTGGAAGGTCAATGTCTCGGGTCGCCAACGCTCTACGAACGTAGTAATCAAACCCGGATCACCGTTAAGAGGGGCCAATGGCATAACCGTAAACAGGCCTGCATCGACAAGATACGACTTATAAAGTGGATTGTATCTGACTAAATTGCTCGTACCTCGAATGTGGTAAGGTCGATCACCAGCCTATAGTGCACAAAATTATATTAATTCAATTTCATGCGTACTTCTAAATTAAGTTCACCTAATATTTATATTTATACATCTAATCTAAACATATTCAAATTGTAACATATATTTCATTCGTAATTCTAGTCTATTCTAATTTTAGTTCAGTTCAACTAATAAAAAAATTATAGAAATAGTTTGAAAACTTACCTCGTTTGCCCAAACTAAGTCATACGATGGTGACCATGCCCCCAAAGAAGTATCGGATTCACCGGAGCTATATCAATTGTCGCAGGTGGTGGTCTCATGGAATAGCTGTCCATAATCCTAGGAACTAAAAAAAACAATTAATCAGAACATAAAAATAACTCAAAATAAATAAAAAATCGTCGTCGGCGAGAATCTGGCCACCGTCGATGAAATACTCACCTCGGTAGCGGTCGTCGCCGCCACGACCTCGACCTCGCCGCCCTCTGCCGGTGTCGGCGATTTGCTCCTCATCGTCAGACATCTTCTCCAAAAACAAGATCTGCTTTGAGGGGAGAAGAAAAGAGATGGTGGGCTTGTTTTGGACAAGGCTCCTTCGTCGGGAAGCTGGCGCGGCCGCCTCAGTCTCAGGCGGGGCTGTCGTTTGCTTTGGCGCGACCGTTTCGGGCTGGGCATGGGGTTGTGGAAGACAGAGCTCGGCTGCTGCTGCTACGGTGTGTTTGAGTGGCGGAGAAGAAGATAAGAAAAGAGGGATGCAAGGTCGCTTGAGTCTCAGGCGCTGGCGCCTTGGACTCGTTGAAAAAAATTCAAAATGCGCTAGCGCCTGAGTCTTGGACGGGCCCGTTATTAACCTAAAAAAACACAATATACATGCAAATAGTTTTTAAACCACTATATTGGTGGTAATTTTTTAAAAAAAGATAATATTTATGTCATTAACCCCCAGTATCCCCCTTCCTTTTTATCCACCGTGAATACGATTTCTGACGCAAGCTTCTCACTAAGTAAGCCATTCTTTCTTCATATTCTACACCCAATTTTGAATTGGGCTTTGTTTTGGGCATTTGTAAGTTAAATAGATATGAGATTATAACAGAGGTAGGCCCACTTCAGCCCGCTGTCAGGTGTCCAGTTAGTGGTTACAATAAATTTATATGTGCTTTGAAGTTTTAAAAAAATATAAATGCATTGGGCCATTGAAGCCCAATTGTCAGTTTCAACTTTCAACCCTACGAATCAAGAGCAGGGCTGCCTTTTGCATTCTACTGAAGTACTGGTGGCTTTATCAACCCACTTTCTAACATCCCAGCCTCCTTTAACTTAATGATCATATGATTTTATATTGGTTAATCTGGTTAACCAATTAACCAAACCGATTAAACTTTAGTTTGGTTAATTTGGTTGTTGTATTAGTTTGGACGGTTTGGTTATGATATTGTATTCCATGGTTAATGAAATTTAGCCTTATTTGGTTTGGTAATAACCATGATAACCATTTGAACACCCCTACAGTTCGTGCCTTTAACAGTCCCGTCACCAGCAATAGATATAAATAAAAAAAATTCCAGCCACTTAATTATGTTCCTTGAACCATGAATTCATTCTTATTGAGATAATGCTTTCAATTCTCTGTTAAGCATTAGAACTGTCATTTGATTCAGTTCAATCGTCTCACAATCAGTAGTTTACAGTGGGTGTGTTTGTGAATTTGGACTCATAGCTTTTCAACAAAACGGTGGCGCCCATGTCTCTTAGGCCGCCAATTTATGGTGCGCACCGATCAGCGGAGTCTCAAACACCTTTTGGAGCAGAAAATCACCACCCCCATGCAATAAAGATGGCTGACCAAACTAATTGGGTTTGATTTTTCCATCGAGTATAAGAAGGGAGTTGAGAATAAGGCAGCCGATGCTCTATCGCGCCAACATGAACTTTGTGCCATCTCTACACCAGTTGCTTCTAGGCTGGATACAATCACAGAGAAAGTTAAGGAGGATTCTCATATTCAGCAACTCATGCAATCGTGTGTGGATGGGAAGACTTCTAATGTTTGGGAGGTACGACATGGCATTCTTTACTATAAGGGTAGGATTTATCTTTCTGCCACTTCTTCTTTGGTGCCTCTCATACTTAAGGAGATGCATTCCAACACTCATGAAGGGTACCACAAGACATTACAACGGATTTTGACTTTCTTTTATTGGCCCAACTTACGACATATGCTACGGGATTTTATTCGACAATGGGACGTTTGTCAGAAGAACAAAGTTGAAAGCCTCAAACCTGCTGGGCTCCTTAGTCCTCTTCCTATCCCGACTAACACATGGATGGATATTTCCATGGACTTTGTTGAAGGGTTGCCCAAAGCACAAGGAAAATAAGTCATATTTGTGGTGGTTGACAGATTGTCGAAAATGGCCCACTTCATCCCAATTAGCCACCCATACTCTGCCAACACAATGGCTGAAGTTTTTTTCCAGAATATCTTCAAACTCTATGGTATGATCTCTAGCATTGTATGTGACAGAGACACTACTTTTACTAGTCAGTTTTGGAAGGAACTCTTTCGCCTGTAGGGTGTCAGTTTCAATTTCAGCTCAGCATATCACCCACAAACTGATGGGCAAACAGAAGCCGTTAACAAGGCCTTTGTGATGTATCTTTGTTGTTTCACTGGCGACCAACCGAAAGAGTGGATCAGGTGGCTGCCTTGGGCTGAATACTCTTACAACACCAGCAAACACTCCTCCACCGGGCATACCCCATATGAAATTGTCTACGGCAAGCCTCATCCCTCCTTACTTGCTTATGTACCAGGCACAACTAAGGTGGCAGCGGTGGACCTTGCTCTCCAACAGCGGGATCAAGTCCTCCAACATCTCCGGCAGCAGCTGGTGAAGGCTCAGGAGAGGATGAAGAAGATTTATGATGTGGGTCGACGTGATCGCAATTTCCAAGTTGGAGATTAGGTTTATGTTAAGCTCCACCACTTTCGACAGCTCACCCTCACTTTGCAGAAGCATCACAAGCTGGCCCTACGATTTTATGGACCCTATCAAGTTCTAGAGCGTATTGGCCTTCTTGCATATCGGATGCAGCTGCCTCCTGCAGCTAAGGTTCACCTAGTATTTCATGTTTCTTGTCTCAAACCTGCATATGGAGTTGCACCACAGGACCCTCAGCCTCTGCCTAATATCCCAGACTTTGAAGTATCACCCCAAGCCATCCTCGACCAGCGCAAGAACAAGGGAGTCCATGAAGTTCTAGTGCATTGGAGTAATTCCTCACCAGCAGAAGCTACGTGGGAGCCCATGGCCACTCTACAGCACCAATTCCCTTCGCTGGTTCTTGAGGACAAGAACACTTTCTAAGGGGGATGGAATGTCACGTAACAAATGTGGGCAAGTGGTTTCCTAGAATAAAGGATATGAATTATGGTTATTATTATTTCCATTGTTTACGTTAGAGTTTGGTTTTGCTTTTTCTTAGTTTAGTACAGTTGGTTGTCATTTAGCTATTTAAAGGAACGAGAATAACAAGCTGAGAAAGCATTGAAAGCCAAAGCAAACACTATTGTGTTCAGGAGGTTGGTCCTTCCCATATAAAGGTCACTATTACCATTTTACTTTACCAAACCCCTTTCCCAATCTCCTTCTCTCTACCAGCGGACTTCTTCATCTTCCCATACCTGTTCACTCTCACGTACACTGCTACCACCTTCTTAAAACCATAGCTCCCAAGAAATCAAAGCCCAAACACGTAGTTCCTTGGCCCCATTCCTCCTAAGAAGGAGCTACCACCCGTTCTAGATCAAAAGTACACAACAGTTACCCGCCAACGGACGGGACCCGGTGCTAGTATTAATAACGTGAATATTCTTATTGAGTAGTTGTCCGACTAGGTTCCGTCGATGATGAAAAGCTCGCATAAACAATTTTTCACAATTAAAAGAGCCATTTAACTCCATTATTTAATCACAGGGTTTAAAGTTAAGTGACGGTTTTGTACCGAACCTCATAATTGGCTGATCTACCTAGTCATTTTGCCCACCGCGCTAACCCATGGAAATGGGGGAAACGGGAAAAGAAAAACTGGCCTTTTCAGTTCCCACACCATCGCGATTCACGACTCCTCCCGCCTCCTGAAACCCTACCCTAGGTTTTGTATTTCTTCTCGAGCTCTGTTCTTCCGATCTCTTCAAGCTTCCAATCTCTCCGTGCTTCTTCTCCGTCAGCTCCCGTCCGAACCCTAACTTTCCATTTACTCGAGTGTAAGTTTGCTTAATTCTCTTCTCTTCTCGTTTCCGACTTTGGGGGTTACTCGCGCGATCGAAATTCATTTAAAGTTTCGTTTTCCTTGCTGAAGAGTGTGGTTTGTGCTGATCTTGTTTCTGTTTGTTTATTTCAAAGTTGTTTTCTATAGCTATTTCTCATAACCCATATACTCTCTTTTTTTCTCTCCAGATGACTCCCCAAAACCCAGGACACTTTTTCGCTTTGTTCAGGCTGCATCATGCAGCTATGGAACAAGCGTTCCGAAGGGAGAAGTTGAAATCTAAGGCTATTTCGTACTTCACTGTGGTTACTGGGCTCATCAGTACCGCTTCTACGTTGAGGACCGTTGTGACCGACCTCGGTAACGAGAAGAAGACTGCTGATAAATTTCTCCAAATCATGAGGTAATATTCGAATCTTGGCGAACACGAGTGAGAGAGATGCTTGACTGAGTGTTGTCTTTTTTATTTTTCCTTCAGGGCGGTGCCTGGGCAGTCAGACAGACCAGAGTGATGTGGGGTGAAGATGAATGGAGAAGAAGGCTGACTGCCATTATTGTGATTTTTTGTTTGTAAAGTTTGTAGTAGTATATTTTCGTGGCCGAAGAATATTGATACTATCTTCACTCTGAATCTCTAAGCAAAATCTTGGGTTAATTAATTGTGTTTCTGACTTTCTGTTTCCTTAGTGCTTGGTAAGACTTAAGATTTCCTTGGCAATCCCATGAAGTCTCTTCCTATTTTGCTTTTGTAATTTATATAGGATTTACTTGGAGAAGGAACCTTGCCTGTTAAGGAGAAATAAATAGGTGAAGTGTCTGGTCCTTCCTGACAGTTGAAATGGGTTCAGATTACAATGGTGATCATTCAAATGAAACAAGTGGTCCATCAGTGTCAGTTGAACAAGTTGTAAACAGTGAAGCTAGTTTACCAATGCTATTGAGAAGAATGTAGACGCAAGAGATCCTTAATAACGTAGTGGGCGAGAAGAGTAAGTTATCGTCTGCTTCTTATCGTTGCAAGAGGGAGCATCTCATCCAAATGTGCTTTGCATCATGATCTCATCTCATTTTGTGACACTTAGGGTGGGAAAGGCTTTGGTTTTTGGTTAAACTGAAACTGAACCAAATTTCACAGTTTTGGTTAACTGAAACCAGGTTATTCGGTTTTGGTTGTTGATTTTAGAACTTCTTAGTTTTCTTTCCTATTAACAAAAACACTAGCCCATATCATCATAATTTGTTGAAACCTGAAGGCCCCCTTCACCTATTATGGAATTTACTGGAAATTACCTTCTTAATTGGAAAACTGAAACCATAATCAATCCCACCCATATCATATTACTTATGCTTCCCTTATCTTCTTCTCCTTTTGCAGGAAAATCAGTTTCTTCATATCTTTCTTCTCCTTTTGTTCATAGATGGTGTACAGTCAAATGGTTCTGAAATGCCATCGACTACCCTTGGTTTGCTAAGCGATAGTTTGTCGATACTTGAATCATGTTGGACTTGTCCACATTCTTTCTCTAACTCGTGTTGAATGGGCTGTCATAAGAAGGTTCTCGGTAGTAAGGTTTGACTTGATGGTTCCAAACGGAACAAAGATTTCCATGAATTTTTTTGAAGGGTGCATAAATTAATATGAACTGATTAATATGCATGCTACTGTTTCGTTTTGAATGAATGCTGATCTCCTATTTGATTTATATGCCATGGGAAATCATTATGTTTTGTCTCATCTAGGAATGCCTATCACTTCCTGAAGGAACAGCTTCCGTGCATGGCCTTATAGCAATGGCGTCTGATTATTACAGTGTTCTTCAGGTACATTATATAGTTCAACTATTCAACCAGTCAAAAAATTCTGCTACTTGATTCAACTATGGATGGAGTGATGCTGGTTCTGCACTCCTTGGTATCTATAGGGAAAGTATTCTGCGCTTGACACTGGTGCGTAAAAGCTGTTGTATGTGCTCCTATGATTATAACAAATGGGAGCTGATCCCTTGATAGCTTTAGCATTAACTTACTTGCCTAGCATCTGAAGTTGACTCTTTTCATAGAAGTCTGATGGTGTTGTTTCATTTTTCCTCAGGTTTCGTATTAGAAAGGACTTGTGTAAAGCAGCGAATGTTCAGATCCTACTGTACTAGTTCATCTGTTTCATTCAATTTAATGAGATGAGTCTTGCATAAGTTAGGTTCATATGGATTCAAAATAGATTTGAACGGAAAACATGAAAGAATGTTTAAATAACTAGGATGTAGAAGTTTAGAGAGTTTACTTTTGTTGAAAGTGTATATTTACATGCTTGGCAATTTTTGCTGTTGGTAGCGTAACAAAGGCTGCTGTTATTTCTTGTCATCCATGTAGGCATTAAGTGGCAGTGAAAGAGAAGGTGCTCCACTGGTGTGCCACAAATCTCACGAATGCAAGAGAGTGAAAGTTCTGCTTAGTGAGCGAACAGTGCTGCCTGTTTAAACAACAGCAGATGGATGCATGTCTCTTTTGAAGAGAGTGCGTATGCAGCTTGACTCTTGATTATTGAAGACATGCTATTTATTTTGAAGGCAGGTGGGTGTTCATCGTATTTTTACAATTAACTGCTTTACCGGTGGGGATTTGAAATTGATTGCGTGGAAATTGTAAAAGCTACTTTGGGCCATTGTGCCCATATTTGACTTTTAATTTCCCTGTTAAGTTCTTACATGCTTTGAATAGTTACCTTGATGGCTTCGGTCCTGTTTGACTTCGGCTGACAATGAATAGAGCTGCATTTGTCATCATAAATATTTTCTGATAGCTTATTGCCATATGAATGCACTTGAATTGAATTCTTGTTAGCATAGGTTGGGTGGATGGCAGATGTCTTTCCGATCCATGCATTCTTCTCTACCATAATATATCCATCTTCAAAACGATGTATTCAATCAAAAACTTTTTTTTTTAATACTAGGATTAGCTAGTTACATATATGTGAAAAAAGCTAATTCTTATATGCCGACTAGCTATTCAATATTGTTTCAAGCAAGGAATTTGAATTTAAGGAAAATAGACTGTATGTGACTAAGCATTGTAGTCTAATTGAAGCTTGAGCTAGTTTTGTGGGTTTATCCTTGTCTTAGGTGGTCAGCCTCGTGCAGTTGGGTAAAGGACGCCTCGTTTCCTGTTTCATATAACAAAGACAATGGGATATATAATGATTTTCAGCCTAACAGGAAGTTAGATGCTGATTCCAAGGAAGAAGAGGTAGCACATGTTGCTGCCTTGGTATTAGCTGAGACATCACACAGAGGAGACTCTCAAGTTTCCCAGACATCCCGTGGCAGAATTGAGCAGGGCACTTCGTCACTTGTTAAAAGCAAAGATAAGAAGTTGATCATGTCATCCTCTTCCTTTTCCTTGAACAGAATGTGACGAACTTGAGATTCTAACATTATCAGTTCTTTGATTATATCAGCTTTCAGTAGTCTGCTGTAACAGATATGTATATCCTCAATTTGTTTGTGCAGGTAGAGTTGGCTCTAGAAGAACTTCAATGTCTCCATACATGATGGTCGGATACAGGGGCTAGGAGTAAGGGTATTAAGAACGTTGAGTATGATGGAGATGTAGAAAGAAGATTCATGGAAAGAAAATGAAAGTTGATGGTACACAAAATTCTGGGGGGCATAGAAGAAGGTAAAAAAGTGAGTGGTTTTGAGCAGAAAATTTTATACAAAGATTTCAAATGGAAAGCTTAAGGTGACTTCTCCTTAAGGCAAAAAGAGGAGAAGCAAGTAAATTTTCTCTGAAGGTAAGATTGAAGCCATCCTCACATGAAAAGTTCAGTTGCTGACTGTCACATTATGGCCGTGCTTACATGAAAGTACTGTATGATTATGTATTTATGTTTATTCTTTTACGTTATTAATTCATAAATGCTCTTAAAGAGTTCTGATTTTTCACATTTTGGTTTTAGTATAGCAACTCGAACAATGTCTTCTTTCAAAGACTATTTTCTCATTGTCAGATGAATTTTCTGCTCTGGATGTTTTGCAGACATTGCCTGATCTCTCTGCCATGGACTCTGGTAAGTACTGAAGACTACTGAGTCTATTATTGCTGTTTAAGAAGGTTTTCAACCTAATATCTCTGTGGCTAGTCTACTACATCTAAGAATCAAGTTACATAAACCTTTTCAGAATAGGACGTATTCATCAATTTGCCACAATCTTACAATATTCCTTAAGCTCCTTCATTAACTGTGGATTTGAAATAAAAAGAAGAATTGGCAAGTTAGTACCAGACACCATCCCCAATGTTATTTCTAGTGAGTAAAGACATAAGTCTGATTCTATATTTCATAAGTTAGCAATCTTTCCATTTGATTGTTTATTCTATTTGACACCAGTTTGTTGTTTTGTCTCATGCAAATTCTCTCCGGGTCACATCAATGTCAAACTATATCTCTGCCTTGTAGGGAGGCCTGAAATCTAATAACTTATGGAGCTGATAGTATGTTCATGCATGTGTTGCTGTATTTCCCATCACTGTGCAATTGATGTTTCTGTGCACTGATTCTGGCTTTTTCATTTTTATTTGTGTTGGTCTAGAGTCATCTGCCCAACTGAAGGAAGAAACAAGTACAGTCGATTTGGAGAGTAAATCTGTCCACCAGAAAAGAGACATACCTGAAGTCTCATACATGAAGGAAATAAGTAAGCTGATACAGTCATTGGAGTTGTAGCTACCACCTCAAGGAAGTCAAGTCCAGAAGAGTTGCAGAAGCCGATGTTAGACATGCTTGTGAAGCCAAGCAGCCAAATGATTCCTTGAATGATTCTTTTATACATAAGCTGGGTTGCCCAAAATTTTCTGTACTGTTTCACTATTTGTCGTGTAGTGGAAAAACCTTCTTCAGCCCGCTCTGGAAAAAACCTTCTTCGCAGCCGGCTCCACCGAAAACATCGAAAATTTTACCCACCCTCGCAGCCGCCCATGCTTCTGTATCCCCTTCCCTTCACCTTTAGTCCCAAAATCTGCAATTCAATCATATCACGTATCTGACATCTCCGGTTTGCTTCTTTAAGTGGCGAAGCCTTCACAGCTACTGCTGTTAAACACGCCATCGACCACGCATTTGTACAGTCCTCACCTTACTCCTATGGATTGAGAGAGACTTCTCTTCTCTGTCTCGACCGTTACAATTTCAGCTGCAACTCCTATTTTATTTCTTTGTTTCTCTATTCTTGATTTCCCCACTTGCTCTTCAACCAACCCTCTCTTCCACTCATCTTAGCAGTCGAAATAGGTCTGGATGTCCTGAAGCTCCGTCGTGCAATTCGGTGATAGGATTCCGAGACCTTCCTCTATGGCATTCAAGGGCAGTCTCGTCAGCGGATGAATCTGTCGTCGCTATAGTCAATCTGCACCACCATCTCCTCAGTCTCGGTCATGATGTTCTTCAGCAACGACTCTTGATGAACCGTTGCCTCCTTGACAGCAACAACTCATGGCCCCAGTTCTCCGGTTTGGCAATCGTTATCGCAGCTGCATATAAGTGCTTCATTTGAAGTCACGACCACTAGATCTCAAGTCATTGTCGATGGCAGCATAACATATCAGCAGCCGGCAGCGGCGTTGTTTAGGTGAGGATGATATCGTGCCGATGGGGAGCTAACATCTCGAGTGGTATAAGAAGAAGGGTAGTAACGCTGGGAAGAGTTTATGGGAAGCCACTCCCATGGAATCTGGCTAACATCCCGAAACGCGGAATCCGTACCCGACGCCCATGGAAGCCACTCCAGCTTGGCAACTTATTTAACTGACGGTGCTTGCTGGATTGCCGGTCACTCTGCGACATGGTAAGATTCTCCTCCCCTTTACTCCCATTTCTTCTCTAGGTGCACTCCTAAAAGCGGCTTGCTGCCCAGCCCTCTCGAATGACGATTCAGTTTTATGGGTTGTGCAACTTTCAATCTTTCTTGCTCATATTTGTATACTATATGACCCTTTTGTTTGTTTACTTGCTATATTCCATTTGAAAGATTTAGGTCCACCAAGAAGGACCCTAATCCGTGCTAATCTTTTAAGATTTCTCTATGTGAAAGTGAATTCTGGTCTGCAGGTGTCTCAATCATTCAAGTTGTAATATCTTACTCATGGTACTTTGTTTGTTTCCAGCTCAGTCTCACGTGATTGTACTCCTAGTGAAGATCAACTTTAATTGTTGGTATCATTGCGAGTCCTCATTGAATTTAGGTTGCTCCACCCCCCCTCATCCCTCCTTTTGTTTTCCTTAACATGAATGGCAGCTCTGTTCTTATTGTTCTTCTCATGAATGTATGATGGACATCGTCTTCTGTAGGAACAAGTTTGGCAGCAATTGGAGGAAAAAGAAAGCCATAGAGCATTCTCTCTATGCAGATTTTCCAACATGTAGATTGTCAGAGCTAGAAGGGAACTTTAACATGTAGATTCGCCAACATGTGGGGATACTTACTTGAGTTCAAGGTAATGACACTCAATTGTTTTCTCCTGGTATTTCCTTTTCATTTGATTACTATTCAGAAGTACGCTCCTTTCCAATGTGTTTTTTCACACTTGCCCACGATCTGCTCGACCTCACTGAGCTCGAGGTAGGAAGGACTGCAGAAGACCATTGGGACAACCACCGCATTGCAGCTCTATCAACCTCTTCGATGAGGAAGGCAATCTGAAGCTACATATAGGTATCGACTTCGATCAATCTCTGTCTTGAATTTTTTTTTTTCCAGCAGGTCGTGTTGATTATTTTTTTACTGCAGCTAGGGCTGGGAAACGGTGCGGTCTGGTCCAGACCAGACCATATATACGGTCTATTGTCCAGACCAAGAGGTTAAAGTATAGATCACAGACCAGACCACAGACTATACGGTCCGGTCCAAACCATGTCTGTGCGGTCTGGTTCGGTCTGGTCTGGTCCAGATAGACCACACTCAACTAAAAATGAATAATTTGTTTAGTCAACCACACAAAAAATTGAACCAATAACCAAGAAAAATAATTGTTATATGCCTTAAAACATTAATCCTAACTTCATAAATAATTTTGATACTCTAAATCTTAGTATATAACAAAGATACAAAGTAAAAACATCCCAGCTTGCACCATAACGTCATAAACATTAACATAATGTCATATGGAGACACTATTATCTCTACTCTCTGGTTAAATGTGATTGTGAATGAAGGAGGAAAGAGATTCACAAAATTAAGGTTGAGACTTGGGTATTGTTGTGGGAGTTTGGAGAGTGGTCGAATGGGCTGTTAACACGTATTGACAAGTCAGTTGGGTCCACGGTTTGGTCCGGTAAACCGCGGTCTAGACCAGACCAGACCAAGAGATCAAATCATAAAATAATACAGACCATGGACCAGACCAGACCATACTTCACGGTCTACGGTCCGGACCAAACTATGCGGTACGGTTTAGACCACGGTTTTTCTAATGGTCTGGTCTATTTTCCCAGCCCTACTTGCAGCCAGTACCTTGCTCTTTTCCTCCTTTCTCAGATCTACGAGACTGATAAGGGCAACCAGAAAGCAAAGAGGGGAAGCGAGAAGAACTTGGAGAAGAAGCTGCCTCCTGCAAGGGTAAACAACCTGTGTCCCTCCTCTTCTGTATACATTTCTTATTCAACTGTACAACATACATGCAAGAAGTAAAGCAACTAAAGAACTGCTTTTGCCACTCCATGTGAAGATATTAATGTTGATTTCCAAATACATCCTCCATTGAATGTATTACTGCTGATTTCCCTTTATTTTACTGTCTGCTCAAGTTTCTTTTCTTCACTTTGACGTCTGATGGTGCACCTATGTTGATTGAAGTTCCCATCGTTGGTACTATCTTATACATCTATGGTGATGCAAAGTTCTTCCAAAACCCAAAGTTTGTAGAGTCCTACTTAATAATAGATCTGCTCTCTTTATGCCTGCCACTGTTTTCACCATCGGGGTCTCCATAAAACCTCATTATTGCATGACAATTAAAACTAGATGAGAGTGGTTTTTTGATTAGTGATTTTGCTTTGTCTTTGGTTCTCGTGTCATTGAGAACTTGACAACAAGATGTTGCTTCAACATTGGTCTGCTAATCCTGTGTACCGGTCTTTTTCTTAGTCGTATTTGGCTTACATGAATGCATTGTCTGAATATTGGTTTCTGTTCGTGACTAAGATTCAATCCAGTGACTGGTAATTTTAACTATGTAATACTGAAGTGGCTGACATGCAAGCTAAATTCTCTAATTCAGGTCCTAAGCTTTTCCGTCAATGGACGATTAGACTCTACATATTAAATTAAGGCTCCAAGTTCTTACTCTGAAAAGGTGTCCGCTTTAGGACCAGTTTAATTTTGTTTGCCTATTTGCAGAAGAGTGGAAGAAAAACTGTCTCTTGAATATCTTCCTTTGGAATTGAGGGCCGCACATAAATGCTTCTCTTTGAATGGGATTAAGCTTACTTTTCACCTTTATGTTTTAGCTACTTTTAAAGAGCCTACGTCACTTTATTGGTCTGAAAATTGAAAGTAGGATTAAAATGTTATCCGACTGTATATTATAGTGAAGGTCAATTTAGTGCAAACTTTGTCAGTTAATTTGCAAGGTTAATTATGAAGTACTTAACCCCTACTTCCTTTTCTAGCCTTGCAACGGCTTGGCAACATCTCTTTATAATTCCTTTGAATTCTCTCCATTTCAGTTCAGTAATTGTACTCAAGCTTTTCGGTTGTTAGGTTTTGGGATTGTAGTTAATCGATTCTGATGGATGCAGGGTAGCCAGGAACATGCTCTAAATCTATGAGCAGAGAATTGAATGGAAGAGAGGATTTTAGTTGAGAGACTATTGTTGGTATGGGTTTTGAGGAAGAAGAGGATAGGCTGCTGTCAGCACTTTCTTCAGCCTCTTATGCAGCAGAATGACAAAAAATCCAATTTACAGATCTCTTCATGTAAGTTACAGGAGCTCGATGCACATGCCACCTTAATTTATTGATTCCATTTTGTCTATAGTGATCCTTTAAACAACTGGGATGGTTGTTGGTGCTTCAAAGGAAGTCTCAAATTGCAAGTTTAAATCTAAGTGGTTTGGTTGCTTCTTTTCGCCCCTGTTCAGTTCGTTTTTTATTTTATTTGTTGAGATGGTCTTTGTTCTATCCTTGAATGATTATTCGGATTTGGAGGCTACAGAAAGGTGGTGTGCAATTTTTAAGTAAAGCAGTCATGATTCACAAGGAATGCTATATAATTTAGGTATTGTTGGGTCGTGTAGTTGAGCGTACTTGGGCCATAGGCCTGATGGTTTCCTAATGAGAAGTAAGCCCAATAAGAAGGCCCAGCCTAGGCAGAAAGGCTGAGTCCACGGGCGGTCCACGACCAGCCCGAGGACCGAGAAGTAGCTGAAGGGCGCCCGACAATAAAGCAACTGACAGTGGCAGAAAGGTAAGGAGCCGTTGAGATACGCATTTGGTGTCAGACAAGACTGGGCATTAATTGCCAGTTACAGGCGGCCTGCAGACAGGCAAAAAGCCTGCTTAGGACGCCCGACACGGCCTGGGGCGCCTGACGCAGCATTTAATGTCTCAACCACCCTCAGACCAGGTATAAATACAGAGTGAATGCATTAATGGTAAACTAAACTACTATCTATCTCTCTATCATAAATACATTCCTCTTTTACTTCTCTCTCTAACTTGAGCGTCGGAGAGTGTCTCGGGCAACCGCCCCGGACCCTTGTTTCGCAGGGTATCTGGAGCCATTCCGCCATCCAAGAACAGGCGCCTCGCCCCAGCTCCACAAAACCGCCTAGTATTTACTAGGCACAAACAGGTACAACATTCTTATTTTGGGCAACTAGAATGCACGTTTGTTGTGGAAATTGCAGAAACTCTTCAACGTAGAATCACTGAATCGTTTCTTCAACTCCACCGTTTCCTTCACCAGCAGATGCTCTGTATGCTTATGTGGTGCTTATTTAATGTGTTAGCTCATAA